ACGGGGACACTGGGGTGGGAGCTGATCCCATGCAGCAGGGCAGGATGGGGGAATGTCCCCGGTGCAAAATGGAGCTGGGTTTAACTGGGAAGATACTGGGAGGGGGGGTGTTGGCCGGTTTGGTCTCCTGTGTGAAATAACACTGAGCTGGCATGGGAATCCCTGGGGTCGCCTTTGTGCGGGTGTGAGTGTGCAAAATACCATTAGGCACCCCAAAATCCTCAGCTCCCGCTTCCCTGGGCGGAAATGCTCTGGACTGAGCATGGAGCCTGGCTCCTGGGTGTGGGGGGCCTTACTTTTTTAGCACTGAGCACAATCTGGGACTAAAGTGGAGCAGGAATCCCCCAGGAGTGACTTTCTCCCCCCAAAAAAAAGACCAGCACAGGACAGTTGAGCAACGTGACGCAGAGTGAATACGGAGCCCGGCCTCCGGCGGCATTTGATCTCTGCCGAAACCGCCGTGGCGATGAAGGGGAGACCGACATATTGCAATGCAGGGGCTCCCTGGTGGAAATAATTATTAATTAATAATTAAGATGCATGTGAGTGTGGCGGCCTGACCCTTAGCAGCCAGGCCTTGTTTCTCCATCGGGGTGGAGGAAAACCAAGATGCCGGATGGGGAGCGGATGTTTACTGCGCAGCAGCGGCTGGAGGAGGAGGAGGGTGGCACCGGCGCAGCCGGGGCGATCACGATGGATTGGGGAAGGGTATTGCGTGATCGTTAACCGCTGCATATTAATTCTTGCAATTACCGGTGTCGAGGCAGGTGGCACCAAAGGCTTTTATACTGAATTTTGTACTGAAATTGCTGCGGCTGCCCGGTTGTGCTGTCCTTGCCATCTTCGGTGGCTGTGGTTGCTCTTAGATGGAAGCTGGAGCTCGAGTTGGTGTCATCCCCCCCCCACTCCCAAATTTGGGATCTTGTCCTTTTTTAGGACCACAGCATCTTTAGGCAGGTCCGCCATTGAACGCTGTTCCGGCTGTTGCTCTCTTGAGTTTTTTTTCCCCTTGTTAATCAGTTTTATGCATTTTTTTAACAACCGGTTGTTGCCCCTGGGGGGCTGCTTGCAACCCGTGCCCCCGTTTTTCCGATCTTTGCTTTTATCTCGCGCTTAAATTCTGCGTTATCACGAGGCGCACGGTAGCAAGCACCGGTTTGCACAGCCGGTTAACAGCAGCAAAATCTCTGTAGCTTTGCGTTTTATTTATAAAAGATCTGTCCTTGCTCGCTCCCAGAAGCCCTGCTGCTTTTTGTTTAGTGTTGCTAGGAGCCTCTCCGTCTTCCTCGGAGGTCAAATGACTTAAATGAGGGCGGGCGTGACGGTTTCCAGTAATAAGCCGTTAATAAACTTACGGAGCAGCATGGAGGTAGCCGGCCCCTCCATCTCGGTGGGGTTCAGGCAGATGTTGGGGTGCCTCGGCAGGTCTCCCTGGCTCGTGGCAGGGCTGGGATGTGAAAAGCTGATCCCAAGAGGTGCTGAGGCGGAAGGGGTTTTCACGTGGGTGGGACTTGGTGGTTTGCGTTTGCAGCTGCGCTCTTACGGGGAGCTAAAAATTGTCTCTAATTTTTTTTTTTTTTTGCCTTGCTTGCCCTTTCTTCCTCCTCCTGCACCTGGCTCCGAACTGCTTGGGCTGCTTTAGAGGACAATTTTTGGGCTGGTTGGGGAAAGCTTTTGGCTTCCTTGGCATGCCCGAAACTAAGGGTTGAGGGTAACAGGGCAGGGGAGGACACAGCGCGGTGATGGCCTCGCCTCTTTTTGGGTTCATGGTGTTCTCCAGCTTAAAAAAATAAACACAGTTGATGAAATTGGAGGGAATCCCCCACCATCCCTTGCCTCCATATTCCTGACCCCAAATAGGAAGGATTCCCAACAGGTCTCCTCTTTTCTCGTTCCAGGAGGTGCCACAGGAGCATTTGAGCTCCCTGAGGAAAGGACGTGAAGAAGCCAAGGCTGAGAGGGAGAGGCAGAGCGAAGACTTGCTGGTGAGTGCCTTGGGGTGGGGGTTTCCCCAAAACCCCTCCCGGCCGCGGGGATGTCGGTCTCACGTGGGTTCCCTTCTGGGTTTTGCAGAAGCAGACGGAAGTGGAGAGGCAGAAGATTGTGGCCGAGTGCAAGGAGCTCCGGGGCTTCTTGGAGGAGAAGGAGCAGCTCCTGCTGTCCCGTCTGGAGGAGCTAGACAGAGACATCGTCAGGAGGAGAGATGAGAGCGTCTCCCGGCTCTCCGAGGAGATTGCCCAGCTCGATAAGCTGCTGGGCGAGCAGGGAGGAGAGAATGGCCCAGGAAACCAGTCTGGGCAGGTGAGACTCCTGGGATGTGTCCTCCCAGCCCGGAGGTTATGGTATAGCAGGGTGTAAAACCTGGGAGGGCTTGAGGTTGGGATCCCTGGGGACAAAAATCCATTTACAGGGACCGCAGGGTGCTGACGTGCTCTGCTGGGGAGCAGCTCAGGTCCATTAGCTCTGTGCTGGAGCTGGCCCATCTGTGCGTTAGCGGTTTTGACTTGCTGCCAGACTGCCGGGCTGCTTTTTCAGGTGGGAAGCCAAATTTTAGCGCAGCTTTCGGGAGTAAAATCGGCCCTTGGAGTAGTGAAGCTGCTTGGGCTCCCTTTGATACCAAGCACTAAGAAATACCCATAGAAACCTCCCCAAACATTTTTGATTTGTGTCACTCCATCGTCGCTTTGAGCCCTGAATCCTCATGGTTTTGGCAGCTTGATGGCAATCATGATTTTTCTTAATTTCTTTAAAAAAGCAGCACGGTTTTTTTTTCTCCACCCAAACTAAAAAAGAAAAAGGGGAAGAAAAAAACCCCACCATAATTATAAACTAATTCTGCCATCTCCATGAGTCCAGTTGCGCTCTGCCTTGGAAACAGCTGCTGAGAGCTGATCCCCTCAGCAAAGCAGCCGTGGGGCCAGTTTTGGGGAGGATTTTGGAGGCTGTGAGGTAGAAGAGAGACTTGTACTGATTAGCTTCTTGGTTTTTTTACTCTCTCTCCAGGGTGTTGCCCCGGCTGGAAGCAGGTGAGTGAACCTGAGCCCTTGCTGGGTCACCTGGGAGGCTCACACCGGAGGCAAGAGCTGGTGGTGTGAGGGCGTACGCCCCGTCCAGCTTCCCCCCCACCTGCCTTGTGGTTCTCACCCACACCTGGGTGTTACTTTTGAGGCAAACCCAAACCTTCGCAAAGGGGGTTTGCGGCAGGTGGGTTGTGGGAGGGTTTGAGCCTCCTTCCAGAGGAAACCGCAGGGTAACTCGGTTGGTGAGGGACCAAACCCACGCCGTCAGGACCAGTATCAAAAGCTGGATCAGGCTGCTCAGGGCTGAGCCCCAGCCAAGGCGTGGAGATCCCCCCCACATCTCCTGCGTGCCTTGTACTGGGCCAGCCCCAAACTGGACCCAGTCCTCAGGTGTGGCCTCGCAAGCGCTGACAGAGGGAGAATAATCCAACACCAAACCTCTTCAGTACCAGGGCAGGTTTCTTCCCTGCCTCTAGTTTGGAGAGAGTACTTTTTTCCCAGCGGGAACCTAATATTTATTTCTCCTCCCCAGCTTTGAGAGTTGGATGTTTTGCAAGCCGGAGGCTGGCTTCATGGAGCTGGAGAAGAAACTCAAGAGCTTTTCCCAGAAGAGTGCAGTGCTGAAAGAGGTCTTGCTGGAGTTCAAGGGTGAGTGCTGAAAAAGGTTTTCTTTAAAAGTTGGTGCCTCCTAACCCCTACGTTTAATTCAGCTTAAAGGATGAAATTCAGCTTAAAAGATGAAATTCAGCTTAAAAGCTTAAAGCTTTTCATCATGAAAAGATGAAATTCAGCTTAAAAGAAGCTTTTCACATGAAAAGATGAAATTCAGCTTAAAAGCTTAAAGCTTTTCATCATGAAAATTCAGCTTAAAAGATGAAATTCAGCTTAAAAGATGAAATTTGAAATTAAAGATGAAATTCAGCTTAAAAGATGAAATTCAGCTTAAAAGATGAAATTCAGCTTAAAAGATGAAATTCAGCTTAAAAGATGATTCGGTTTGAGCTGTGCTCTTGTTTCTCCCTTGGGCTTGTTGGGAGAACTCTGTATTGTTTGAGCATCTGCTCATCAAAAATAAAAAGCCCTGCATGTTTGAAAAGCAGCGCGTTTCCTTTGGATTTCGGTTTGGTGGCTTGCCATAAGGCAGGGAGCAGGGTGGCGTGTGTGTAGGCAGTCCCCGGTGACTCCCCGTGCACGAAGGGATCTAAATTTCTTTCTCTTCTTCCCTCAGAGAACCTCCGGTTCGAGCTGGAGAATGACACAGGTGAGCACAGTTTGGTTTTGGGAGCCTGACCTTCATTTTTGTAAGGCTTAATTTGGGAGTTTCAGCTTCCCCGGGGGGTTTCTCGGCAGTGAGACCTTCAAGCTAGCCTTAGAGGTCAGGAGAGGAGAAAACTATTGCTGGTGCTGCCAAGGGAAGGCGGGGGGGGGGGGGGGGGGGGAGGCCAGAGTCCGCAAAAGGCGCAGCCCTCGAATTTGTCAGGAAACTCTGGTGTTAAGAGGACTCTCCAGAAGCTGATCCGCTCTACCCGGAGCGAGGAGACCTTTGGCCCCCCTGGTGGGTGTTGATTTAGCTCAGAGATGGACTTTGCAACCTTTGTGTTTGCTGCTGGTAGTTCAGGGCCGTCGCTGCGCTCTGTCTCCTTGGCTGGGTGCAGGATAGACCCGTCTTGCTTTCGGCAGTCTCTGATATACTCCCTTCTCACGGTCGTTTTCAGGCTGTGCAGCCCTAGTTCCTGACAGCCCCCTGAGGACAAGAGCAGCCCTTAAACACGAGGATATTTGTGCTCATTCCTCTCTGGCGCTTGGCAGTGACTAAAAAAAAGATACTTCTGCCTAGAAATTTCTATTCCAGAGCAAGGAGGTGTCTCGGATGGGGCAGGCTGGTGGGTTTGCAGCAGAGACCTGGCTGTTTCTGTGCTTTAATCAGAAAGTGGAGCCTGATCTTTGTCCCCCTGCGGCTCTTGGCACTTTGGGTGCTTAAAGCTTTTGGAGGCGCCTTGCCTGGTGTCGTCCTCGTCTGGTTTGGGGCAGAGACAATGAATCCCCTTGGAGGCTGGCTCCGACGAGGGTGGGAGAAGGGTCCTTAGCTTGCAGACGCTCATGTCCATGCTTCCCTCTTCCCAGGTGATCTCTCTCTGGATCCGGACACTGCCAACCCCTACCTGGTGCTGTCGGAGGACAAGAGGAGCGTGCGGCTCAGGAGTGCTCCCCAGGAGCTGCCGGCAAACCCCAAGAGATTCGATTACTCCTTCTGCGTGCTGGCGGCAGAGGGTTTCATAGCTGGGAGGCATTACTGGGAGGTGGAGGTGGGAGATGGAGAGAGCTGGGTCCTGGGGGCAGCCCGCGAGTCGGTGCGGAGGAAGGAGAAAATCGACTTTGCTCCAGAGGAGGGGATCTGGGCGGTGGGGTTGAACTGGAAGGGGAAGAATTGGGATCAGTATCAGGCTTTCACCTCCCCGGAGACGCCCCTGTCCCTGTGTGAGAGGCCCAGGAAGATCGGGGTGTACCTGGACTACGAAGGTGGGTGGGTGGCGTTTTACAACGCCGATAACATGGCTCCCATCTTCACCTTCACAGCCGCTTTCACCGAAAAGATCTTTCCTTTCTTCTGGCTCTTCTATGTGGGCTCCTCGCTCTCCCTTTGCAATTGACCCGTCCAGTTTCTTTAACCCTCCCCAAGGTGACCTGCAAGTAGTGCCCGATCCTGTCCCCTTTTTCCCCTTGCTTTCAGACGAAGGACCCCGAAACTCATGACTGTCCCTTGTTCGGCTTTGGGGTTAACTTTTTCTTGTTGGATTTAAAAGTTTGGGGTCTCTTTTACCCTGAAAACCTTCCTCTGGGGCATCAACCGTTGAGGGTGGCTGCTTAAATAGCCTCTGCATGGGGTTATTCCCCCCCCTCTGGCCTGCTGTATAAGCAACCCCATATATTTTGTTTTGTTTTTGTTTGAAGTTGGCTGCCCCATGTAAACAGGGATGTAACCAGGGAGAAAAGCTACCTTAGGGGTTTATCGCGTCCTGCATTGATCCGTAGCCAAAGCCGCCTGCTTTTGTGCACCCCGGGAAGCTCTCGAGGGCTAGCAAACCCGCGTGAGGAGGAGAGGTACCGTACCCAACCCCTGATTTCTGAGACCGTTGCTCTGCAGGTCACCTTTTAGCTTTTCCCCCTCACCCCATCCTCGCTTTCCTTTCCTCGGGAAAGGGCCGAAGCCCGTCTTTCGCTGCCGCTAGCGCTAAGAGAGCAAAACCCCGCCATCTCCCTTGCCACTTCCCCCACCCCCCTCGCTTCGGGAGGGCAGAGCCCCTGATTCCCCTGCCGCTAGCGCTAAGAGAGCAAAACCCCGCCATCTCCCTTGCCACTTCCCCCACCCACCCACCCACCCACCCCCGTT